TCTACATCAAGAAAGCACAACTTTGTAGGGAAAAAAAAGGACAAAAGACAGAAAAGCAGATGCTTGCAGGAGCTTTGAATTCATCTACAGAGCACAGAGCTGATGATTTTGGGTCTGACTTAGGAAATGCTCCAACACTACAAATCAAAAAGACTTGTGGCTGTGGCAGTATTTTCAGGCAGAGAACACTTTCTCGCTGGGTACATGTTTTAGTCTTAACCCTCAGTGCTAACACCAAGATTCTGATGGTAAACTTCTTAAATTGTAGGGCCACTTTTTCTGATGAAGAGCTTTTCAGTAATAGTAACCAACCTTTATCTTATGAGTTTATCCTTTGAAAATTTTAAAACGCACAGTTTGAACTTCCAAACAGTTTGTTGTGTTCAGTCATTTACAGGCAGCAACTGGCATCCCCTCAAGGGATGAAATCTGCTCAGAACTTTCTCTGTTTCTTTCCTCCAGAGAACTAGAAGATGGCCCTTCACATTTTAACTGTTCCAACCAGCACAGCACAGTAAGATCAGTGAATTAGTGCATGGCATGGAAACAGCCCATCTGTGAACTGCGAGGCCTGTTCTGTGCCATCGTGCTCGATTCCTGGCTGGCTGGGTTTGTCTCTCACACTGAATTATTTTGTCATTAAGGGTGGAGGTTAAATACAGTCCTCCTTGTGTTCTGATGAGCTTCCTTCTGTTGAGGCCTTCTTTAAAATCAGCATTTATGAGCTGGAAGAGAGGGAGGTAGTGTGAGAGCACCTCCGGCTCTCCCCTTACTAACATTAGGCTGTGCAGGAGTTCTCTGGAATTACTCCTGGCCCTCTTGTCCACAGAAATCTCCTGAGTCTGAGGTAGAAACACAGAATCACAGAAAAGCCTGAAGGAACCTCTGGAGTCCCTCTGGTCCAGCCCTCTGTCCCAAGTGGGGCCTGCGATTAGGTTCAGCAACGTAGACCAGATCAGCAGCTGTGGAGAGGGGAAGGGTTTTGTTGCCTCTTGTCTTGCTGTTAATCGTACGTTTCTGATTGAAATCTTGCTTGCTGTACTCTGTGATTTTGGTACGTAGTTCTGGGCTTTTTCTCTTCCTCCTTCAGGTTTGGCTCCTTCCAGTCTGTGTCCCTACGTGAAACCTGAGCAACATTAAGGGCTTTCAGTGCTTTTCTTGGTTTTTCCTTAAAGACTTGGTAAATCTGCATGTCTTGTGTTTCATCTCTTCCTGTTATTAAAGTGCAAAGCTATGAATAACCTCAACTTTTCACTGTTTTCAGTTTTCTTTTAGCATAACAGTTGCAGTTCATTTGGTTTTCTTATATTAAACAATGTATGCCAGGGACTTTGTTTTGCAATTTTGCTATGTAGGCTCTAAAGTTGTGCTGATACAAGACCATGTCGGTCCTGCAGAGGTCATGCCAGCATTCTAAGCACAAGATTTTTCCCAAATCACATTCTTACGGTGGTTGGAGGTTGTAGAACAACGCAATATAGAAAACTGACTAAATAAGACTTTGAGAGTATGCCACTACATAATCTTTTTTAAATTGACGGTTTCATATAACATCCCGGAACCTCAGTAGTATACGTGTTTCTAAAATATTTAGTGATTTTCTTTTTTTTGGTAGTCATTTAGTCAAATCTCTCACTGTTCACTTCCAGGTGATTGGGATAGTTATAATCCATCTTCATCAAATGTAATATATGAAGAACAGTCACCGTTATCTTCATCTTCACATTCTGCTTCCCCATCTGAAGTGTGTTATTTACCAGTACCAGGAGAAGCTTTAACAAGAGTTCAGCTGTCTGAGAAACTGGAACAAACAAAGAACACTGTGCCTGAAAAGATAAGCACTTTAACTGAAGACCAGTTTGAGAAGAAGCTTCAGTCTTCTCCCCAGAGAACAAAGAACAGATGGGAATGTCCCTCCAGCCCTGGGTTTGAAATCACAAAAGGTAGTTTGAGATTAGGGACCAGAAGAGATAGATCCACAAGTCCAGAAAAGTTAGTGGCTGCCGAGGGACACCCTCACACAGGATTCCACAGCCCCAGAAAAGGGGAATCTGAAAAAACGTACAGCAATTTCTTACATAAACCTGACAGTTCCAGAAAGAGTGAGAGTAAACCCGCAGAAATAGGGATGAATGACAGTAACAAAAAAGAGTATTCCAGTGGAAATCAAGGAAGGTCTGCCAGTCCCCAAAAGCATCCCAGTAAGCAAGGAAACACAGGAGCAGTAGGCAGGTTACAAGAATGTCAGGATAGAACAACTGGTGCTGATAAGACGACTGGTGATCAGTTGAAAGGTGGAAATGGTAAAATGGGAGTCGCCAGGAAAGACATGAAACAGAAAACTCTGGGGAAGACAGAAGGGTGGTCTCCAGAGCGACAACATGCAGCATTTGATGAGAATTATCTTTCATTCAGTGACTCTAGGAGAAACACACCTGAAGATGAAAAAGTAAAGAAGTCAAACTCTGGAGGGCCAAGTTCCATCAGATTCAAAACTTCCAGCCTTTCCAATATTCCACTGCTTTCCGTGGAGAGGCAAAGGTGGCTGGAAACACAGGAGACTCTTACGCTGAACAGACAACACGGAGAGAGGCAGCCGGAGCTGCCTGATGAAACCAAAGATGGAATTTCCAAATCTGAGAATAGTTCTCCAGTCAAGAAAACACCGATAACTCCTGGGCCCTGGAGGGTACCAAGTGCATGTAAAGTCACCCAAACAGCAGGTGTGGCTGAAAAACGGGTTTGACTGACACTTTTTTTTAGAACATGTTTTAATCAAGTTTCTAATAACGGTCATTTAAAAGCATTGTTTCTTTTCACAAAGTTGTCACTTTTCTCAGAAACTGGTTGGAGGGTGGAAAGTATTTGATTCGTTCTTAAGTTATCTAAGCTGCATGAAGGACCTTTTGGATTGCTTAAACGAAACTCTTCCATAAGCTGCTGTCCCCTTGTCCTTTTGAAGGCGGTGTTCTGCTGCTCTCAACGTTGCACTGCTACGGCTTTCTCAGATAGTATTGTGAGTTTCTGAACAAAATTATTTAATGCCTATATTGCCAATGTGATCATGACTCACTTCTCATTCTTGTGCCAAGTTATCTACTGTATCCAGTCAATCTAATCCTTCTCATCTGATTCCAGTCACAGAAAAGGCAAGGTTTTGTTTGAAATGGGTATTTTCTCAAGAGCATGTTGCATGTTGACATAAGGAAATACACGTGTTCTTACTGGTTCAGTAAGAGGATGGGCAAGTTGGTTCTGTCAATTCTAGGGCGGCAGATGAGCCACTGATGCTGTTCAATTGATGTTCTTTCTTAAATTTTTATACCTAATGCAAAATCATGTAGATAAAAATTATATTTGACATAATCAATGTTCCATAATTTTGCTTTTTATGAACACAGCAAAATTGCTTTATTTTCTTGATTCATAAGGAATGCTTATAGCAACTGTTTGCAAACATCTGTCTGAAAAGAGCAAATTCTGGGTTCTGTTAAATAACATCATTCCTTTGGTTTCACTTGTGGCACTGTGTCATCCTTAGCATTCTTTGCAAACATAAGCAGTGAATGCACATTTATCTGCAGCCTCGTTGCCGTGCTGTGTGCTGAAGTCCCATCTTTCATTACTTAATGCTAGTTAGGAATCGGATTTTTTTCCCTCGTAGAGATAACAGCTGAGCTTTAGGACAGAACCAACTGCCGTGATAGCTTCTGAAATGAAGTTCTTGCTTGTGTATATTAGAAGTTTCCCATATTTTTCTTTGAATGCGTGACCTGTTCCAAGAGTGCTAAATAGGATGATGTACAGGCTACATGAGACTTAATATCTATTGTTTGGGCTAGAATACATATTTTAAAGAGAGGAATGTTACAACCAGAATCTACTGACACATCAGTCCTACAGCTGTAGGAAGAGCAGACTGCATAAATTGAAGGATTTTATTTTATTCATAGTTGTAGTGGTGATTTCCTGACGCTAGGTTTTTAATGACTGCAAAAAAGTGGTAAAAGGAGCCCATTGGTCCAGTTTGCAGGAGAAAGGAGTGTAAAAGGTCAAGCTTTACTGACTTGTGGTAAAATTTAAACTAATGTGATTTGCTATTTGAAAGTGACTTTTGGCTTTGAAACATTTGATGTTTTTAAAGCTTAATGAAAAACAGTGAATCAGTTCTGAGTTGAATTCTTCAGAAGTACAAATGACTACTCAAACAGCTTTTTAAACAAAGACTCCAAAAACTAAATAGGCTTTAAAGCAGATCTGAACTGTGCTCTGCTGCTTGACATGGGATGATCCTTTGAGGTGTGCTGTGTAGCATAATACGTACAAATACTCCATGTTGCGGAGTATGACTGTGAAAATATTTAATACTTTGAAGTAGCCGATGTAGATATTATCCATGTATTCTTATCAAGAGATTCTGTTCTATGTTGAGTTGTATGCAGTTGCCCTAACCACTGAGTACAGATTCAGATGTTTAATACAAAGATGAATTAGCACCACTGAAATTATTTCCCTGTCATCAACTGCCCCTGTATTTTTTTCTGTATGTTAATGTGACCTGATTTAGTCTTACCTGTGTGTGATTCCTCCTTCCATAGAACTTGTACCTGTACTTACTGTATCAAACTTAGCAACGTGGCCTTGGAATGCTAAGCAATGTCTGGATGTACTGGGTGTAAATGTTTATATATTGTACAGCACCTTTATACATACTTCTGAGGTTCTGACTAGAGAGACCTGTAAATCGCTCATTATTTTTTATATAGATATTAAAAAGAAACTCCAGTTCACGGCCTGTTGGTTCTGCACTGTATAAAATAGATTCTTTGTTGACTTTCAGTGGTGTGATACTTCAGACAGCTAAATCTGTGACCCAGGTTTTGCCCACAAACAGAATACTCCTCTGGAAACCAAATGCAATTTCCTATTGGAAGTTTCCTCGACTCCCTGCTCAAATAACAAATGTGGTATAAAAAAATCAAGTCATGTAGAAAGAGTTGTTAATGATGAAATACTTGTACTGTAGGTTTATTTGTACATCTTGATATATAAAATTGTCATCTCCTTTTACATCTTACAACTTTTCCTTGTACAGAAAATAGCTGTAAACAATTTACTACCAAAAATTCTTATGCCATCTTACCCCTTCTGTGAAAGAATGAAGCTATGAAAAGTTCCTCAGTTCTTGTTTTTTTTATTACTAGTAAGTAGAAGACAGTAGAGTCAGATAATGAAAAGGTAGGTTTAACAGACTTCTTGGAAACAAAATGGTTTACTCCTGTGCCTTTTCTAGGCGCTGATCTGCTCTCGGGCGAGGAAGCCTTCCCCACGTTCCCTCCTCGGGTATTTCAGTGTGAGGCACTGTCGCAGCGCGGAGCTGCAACAGCTTCTCCCAGCACTGAGCAGAGCTGCCAGTCGGGGGCTCGGCACAGCTGAGGGCTCACAGGGAGCGAAATACTCTGCACTTGCTAAAAGCTTTACCTGTACTTTGTGTTGCAAGGTTGTTCTCCTGTAACTAATGTTTTCCAAAAAATGAGCATTTATTTGCAGAAAACCCACTGTGAGCCAACCAGCATGAATCTGCTGTGTTGCTTGACTCTCAACAGGGAGGCAGAATTCCTCTCGCGCAGCCCAAATTCCACGGCAGCCTGCACTAGCTCAGGATCGAGAGGCGAAGCCTCAAGCACGCTCAGCTTTTAAGAACAGAAATACTCTTCAGCGTTTTCAGGTAACTGCATCTCAGAACTGTCAGCCTGAGCACACACTGAAAGATTCCAGTGTAGGCTGCTGCTCACTGGCCCGAGCCGCCGTCCCTCCCGCGGGAGCCTCCCGGGGCTTTTACTGCCTGATGCCCCACACTGCACACGGGCCCCGCTGTTTCCAGGGCCAGCTACTAGTCTTTGGCCCCATGAATTGGTTTGCTGTGTGTGCGTGCCATGGGATGACTTCACTGATTAGACCAGTTTGTTCTGTATGCTGTAGAACAGCAGAGCAGAGGGAGAACTCTTGACACATACACTGAGAATCTGTTTTAAAAAAATGACAGTTACAGGTTGCCGTAGTTGGAGAGCACCTCTGCTTTTTGCCCAAGCTGTTAGTTATCTTCTCTGGTCTGCCTTTCTGGTGGAGAGGGCCGAGTGCTGATGTTTGGTCAGTTCATGGTTTGATTTTCCATAACTGAAAAGAGATACTGAGAGTGAGTAGGGGTCCGGAAGCTTTTCACCTGCAAGTAAGACTCGGTCTCCTTTGCCCATCCTGCCGCGTGAGCCACAGGAAGACACTGTCTTCGTTCTACAGGGAAAGAACCCAGGATCCTGACTGCCGGCTGCAGGGGCGCTGAAGACCTGAAATCTAAGTCAGCCCTCCCCTTCCTCCCCCGGGCTGGCTCAGGGCGCTGGGTTGGTTCAGCACGGGCCGTTCTCCGAACCGCCACATAGCAGGAGCCTCATTCAGACCCACGGCCGGCCTGCTTGGGCGGGAGGAGCAGAAGTGGCCCCCACGAGAGGTTTCCTGTTGGTTTGTAGGGGAGTGACACTTACTCTGATGTTGAATCCTAGAAGATCGCTTATAACACCTGAGACAGCAGAGAGTATCACAACACGTGTGATGTTGTAGATTAACGGATTCATGGTCAGCCCATACAGCCTAAATGGAGTGTCTAATTCCTGCAGTGAAGGGAGAAAAAAAAAGTCCATTAGCATTCATCGATACCAGAGGCAATGAATCCTCTGAGTTTCAGCTTCCTCCTGGGTGCCCTGGCAGACTCTGCCAACTGGGCGCTGCCCCTGCATCCCTCCTTCCACGTACGTACAGCAGATCCCGCGATCTCAGGCCTCCCAGCTCAGAGATGTTTTCTAACAAACCGCCGTGCTCAGTCTGAAAAGTCTCCCTGGTAGCAACGCTCGCTGCATAACAAGAGCTTGACACAACAGGCTGTAGAATTTGTCTAGACTAATTTATGTGACTCAGACAGCTCACTCTTTCCCAAATACCTACTCTGCTACTGTCAACAAGCTTCAACGTCGAAGCTGCCGAAGGAAAATGAGATTCAGGCAGTAAGGAGACGTGCTGTGTTTGTACTACCTACCCTCTCTCACTTACCTAAGGTGTAGTGAGCTGCTGCTAACCGAGTGTTAATTAACCACGCGAGCCTTGTAATGCTCGATCCTGTGCCGTGGCTACAGAAGCACAGAAAAACACCCTTTGTGAGAAGGAACTTACCAAGAGACAAGAGAAATGGGAAGAGCAAAACCACAGAGTCGTCGTCATCGGTCAGTGCTCCCATACAATTTAGCAACTGTAGGCTTTAGGGAGAGAAGCTTACCTTCAGTAGCTTTGTAGATAGTTTCAGAACATTGTTTACTAGAGACAGCTGCTCCTTCTTGTTTGGCTTCTTCTCCATCTTTAGGTACAAGTTGATCTGTGACCCGGACAGTACAGACCAGATGTTAATATTCCAGCACTAGCTCCCAGCTAATTCCTAACTAAGAGAAATTAGAGCCATTTTTTGACATTTACTGTCACTTCGGAAGAAGTGATGCAGCCACAGACAGGAATTTAGCAGTGACATCATCATTCTTTTTGATTGATGTAGCTAACACATGTTAACCCAGAGACAAAAATAATCTAGAGTTTTAGAATTTGACTCTGTCCAAATTTTTAACAGCTTGTCCCTCCCCAGCTCTACAGTGTTTTATTGCCCTCTGTCCAGCAGAAGGGTTGACTTCTAAACTTTAAAATTGGATTCTAGTATTTTTTAAGCTGGTTTGAAATGCAATCATTGTATCCAAACAAGCCACAAAGCCAAAGGGAGACTAAGCTAAAGGGAGATACCTGCTCTGTAAGCAAGATTGAAATATTACTGTATTTCTTGTTGGTTTCAGAGCCCAAAGATGCCAGACGTAGTAAAAAGAGAAGAAGGGCTGCCTCCCAGATTAGGAACTCCCAGTTGTAAGCTGCATTCAGAAATGTTTTGTGACCTTTAAGAACCTGTATTGAGGAAAAAAAAAAAAAAGGCACCACTGTCAATAATAAGTAACACACCTGTTCTTGGGAAAAGTGCGAAAGCATTGCCCTTACTCCCTTTTCTGAACAGGCCCCGTGCTCTACAGCTACTGAGTTTTTCCCTTGAAGCGTAGTTCATTCATGTAACTAGGTTAAAAGTAAAAAGTCTGGTTTCTAACCAGGCTTCAGCTTGGAATTTGATTTTTGTTCTTTCTGCTTAGAAAAGGACGCTTGTTCTTTCTCTTTCCTCCCTCTTTCCAATTAACAGGCCATAAAATGCCTTTCGTGCCCGCCCGTCCCACCAGCAGCCGACCACCCCAGCCAGGCTAAGCTGGTCCTGCCTCTCCCAGTACTCGCTGGGTCTCACTCAGCAGGACTGGGATTGCCATTACTTCCTCCAGCAATTACAAAAGCAGTCGCAGCAGTGAGAGTCAGTATCTAGTAATGACTGATCTTCACGGTGTCGAGATCTTGCCTCAACGCTGTAATGAATCTCTTGTCAAAACCAAAGAAACACAAGAGCTCCAGCATTCACCCTGCTTACTGTAACAGAAGGTTTAGTGAAGGATTAAAAGGTGTAAGTAATAGTTCCTGCTTTTCAACAACAGTCATTAAAGAGGATGCTGCAATCAGCCCTCAAATCAGATGTCCTGTGAAGGTGAGGTACACTTCGGCAGAGTCCTTTCGTTTGTGCACAAAACCCTATGTCCTGAAATTTTCCTAATGATTAGAAAACCCCAGGCTTTCCTCTGCAAGTACAGAGAATGAGTATCTATTACCAACTAAACATGACTAAGTTTTTTAAAAATGCAAAGCACATATTACTTTGGAGACAAGCGGCCACAATTCAAGCACTTTGCAGGCTGGCAAAAGAAAAGCCTTCAGTAGTTTGGGTGTTTTCCCCCTACTTTTTTTAAGAAAGAAAAAAATCTCACCTGGGCGCAGCATATAAAAGCAATTGAAAGAGCCAGTAAAAAGACTGACGACACAACAACATCCACAGATCGCTGGGGGCCTCGCCTCTGCAGAAACAAAGACACTGAGTGGGGTGTGAGGCCTGCGTGCGGAGCTGTGAAGCCGAGGCTCGCCCCGAGCCGCTGTGACTGTCCGAAGTGCCAGGCGGTAACGTACAGGCGCCAAGTACCCGTACCCACAGACCTGGTTACACCCGCCGCACCAATCCAGTCCTGGGTCACAACTCACCTTTAGATAGGAACGAAGGGATAACCAGATCTTAATGTTTTCTACCTTCTTGAGTCTAAAGTGAGGAATTTCGTATTTCCTGGCTTTCCGAGCCGATGTAATGTGACTAAAAAGCTTGGCAAACAAAAACCTCTGCAAATTAAAAACAAAACCAGACACACACAACCACAAATTAGTCTACAGCGGAAAAGATTGCTTGGGATTGCTTAGGGATAACTGGCAGAAAGGGCTGCCCTTGTGCCAGGCTGGGGAAGCCTAAGGGGGATCCTTGGTGCCCGACCTCGGGGGTAAGTGACAGCAGTCACCCTGCGTGCGGAACTGTCCCCACGCCAGAGGAGCCACAGAGCTCTGGCTGAAACTGCAAATCTCACCAGCCTGCCTGCCGGGAACACGTCCAGCCACCTGGGCACCACTGCTGCCCACGGGCGCGAGGGAGCCGCGCGGGACGCGGCCAGCTCCCCGGCGCCCCACCTCGGGACGGGCCAGCTAAGCAAGCTGCTGCTGCTGAAGCACTCGCTTCCATGCAGAGTGCCATTCCAAGATGTTAAAAGGCTGTTTTTCTTTAGGGGCAGGGTAAGAGGGGGAACACGGGGGTCAGGAAGAGTACTGGCAGGTTTGAGTTTGTGACTGATGAAGAGTCTTGGCAGACTCCCCTACCTGAGCTTCTCGGACATCTCACCAGTTTGACACTTCAGTTCGCCAAGACACGCTTGTCCTGCCAGAGTCTTCTGTGAGAGGCAGCAGGGTTTTGGCAGAACACCCACCCCAGGTTCACGAAAGGAAACAGTATATTCAAACCCACCTGCTTGTATGTTCTCTCAGCGACACACATCATGAAGAAAAACATCCAGGTTAAGCAGAGTCTTTCAAGGAAGTTGATGATGGACAAAACAATGACAGGGGTGCTGGCAGGTGCTCCACAAAAGATGTGCAAAAGCTCCTTCAGGGAAATGGAGCACAACTGCTCCAGGTTGTCTGTGCGGAAGAGCCTGTAGAGGAATGGTAGGAATGCTAATCCAATGGTGATGATGTTTCCCAGCATCTGATACCCCACTCCTTGCTGGTAGGCATTAACCTGGCAAGCAGGAACAAGAATGGGATGATTACCTGGGGTTTTGTATCAAGGAAAAGGCATGCTGTTGTGGCAGCACTAACTCCATCAAGCATTCAGTCCCCCTTCCCTTCAAAGGACATAGTCTAAAATAATTCCACCCATTTCAGTCCAAAACCAACAACAATCAATCAGTCAATAAACCTACCACCTTCAGGACACTGCAGAGACAGCCAGTAATCGGCACTCAGTCTTCAACAGGACCTCCTAAACTTTGGTTTATGCAATTTTTAAGTAAGAACGTTTGGGACGACTGTATTTGCAGTTGAGGAGGGCCCAGTTTTATACTGCACTTCATATTTGCATGTATAGCTATTTCCAGGCTTTTTGGTGGTTGTTTTTCAAAGCGTGAGAGGGAGAGGTTGCAAAGCCTTCCAGCCCTCTTACCCTGCTCATGATAATCCCACTGATCTCCAGCACAGACATGTCCACCTTCTTGCAGTCATTCCCTTCCCAGATCAGTGCACTCACTTTTGCAGATGCTGGACTTGTATTCTGCAGCCAAAACAAATGGTTCTGTAAAAGAGAAAAGAATGCAAGATGCATAATCTATTTCTGTCCAGCTAATAAATACTGCTTTTCCCTAGAAAGTACTTAGATTGAGAGGGGGATTCCAAATTTGTCTTTGGGTGAAATACTTTGTTTTGGGATTTGCAGTGGCCGAGAGGATACGAGGAGGGAGTTGATCATTGACACTACTTAGATCATTCCAGACTTCCATGTGATTAGCACGGTTGACAGAACGCGCTCATCCAGCGTTAGATTGCTCACACTGTACCAGCAGCATTCAGATGTGTCTTTCATAATATTTGGGCAGAATGGGGAAAAAAGGCGGGGAGTGTGTAGAAATCTTTCACAGTATTCTCAGCTACTGGATCCAAATCAACAAACCTGCTGGAAAACATCTTCCTTCAAATCCCGCCTGGTGCCTCTCGCAGCCGCCTCGTCGCTGTCGCTGGTGCAGGACGAGCGACACTCTGGCCCGTGGAGCAGATCGTCCCACAGCATGTCTTCTGTCTCCGAGTCGTGGCGAGTACTCTCCGAGTCCCTCCGGGTCACTCCGCAGCCCTGGGATCCCACGCTAATGCAGGACCTCAAGTCCTTTGAGGAAGAGCAAAGTTTCCAGAGCGCGGCCCCGCACCGATCTGCAGCAGCACCTCAGCAAGGGGCTGAGCCGGCGCCGGGCACAGCGGCGCCCTGGGCAACCAGCACGGCCACACAGCAAGCCACACAGACAGCATTAGCTCCTCACCCCTGGTCCCAACTTCAGGAAGCAAAACCAGAGCTAGTCCTTCTAGTGCAAAAGTTTTCTGGCTTTTACATCATCTATTTGAAGATTTGACTTCTATTTTATATTTATTTATGGACTTTTATGTGTGTAATCTGATACTCACGTATTTTATTTCTATTTTATTTTCAGGTAGAGAGAGGGGCGGGGGGCAAGATAAAGTAATGAAGTGAATGAGTATATGTCACAGAATAGATTTATTTTTCATCTTAAAATTAAAATTTATTAGCATAAAAGCTAAAATACAGTGTTGCCTCCCAAACCACAAGAGCAACTGTAGCAATTCAACATGAGCAATTAGAGGCAGCTTAGACCATACTACACTGCCAACAGAGTGACTTTTTGTTTTGTTTTTGTTAAACAAAGGCGTATACACACAGCTGTGAACGATGTTTGAAAAGCTGCAAACAAGCAGGGAGGGAGGCCACACCTTCTATCTGAAGGCTGAAGCATTATCATTTAATAATGGTCTGTTCTGAAGGGGAGGATGTCCCTGCACTGGCCAGGCCCGGTTAAGCTCCGTCTCTTGAATTTATGACCAACCTGACTATATAATGTGGATTCTAGTTCAGATTCTACGACACTATCAGAGTCTCTGGCACCTTTCAGGGCTTGCTTGACCTGCCAAAAACAAAGAGAAATCAGCTCATTATCCATAGCAAAAAACTGTGTGGAAAACAGCATAAATTCAACATGAGTACCTGTGAGACAGCCTGGCTCAGAGAAACAAGAGGCCTCTTCTTCTTCTCTTCATAGCTATTGTCACTGGAAGCCCCTTCCACATTCTGGCGTAACAAGATCCTTTGTGTCATTGTTTCAGTGTCCTCCTCACTCGAAAGCTCATCAGAAACGCCACCTCTGTTGGTGCAGTCATCCTAGAAATACAGCAGTCAAAATAAGACTAAGGCAGCCATAAAGCACCAGCCTGAATTGCATCAAACCAAAAGTTCAAAGCCAGCGCTGCTACTACACTGGCACACACAGTAACCTCTGATTACCTGCCAAAGCCAGCAGATGATCTCCACAGAACATGCAGAAACAGAATCCAACTCATAGTCACAGAGGCACCACAAATTTTAACTCGTTCCCCCTGCCCTCGCCTTGCCACAGAGTAATGACAGGGAACCTTGGGTGGGGTGGAGCTGGATTTGGGGCAAAGGCAGGAAGAGGAGGAGGCAGCAGCAGCTCTTGGCTATGTCTTACCAGCAGCCTTAAGTCCAGGAGAACAGAAGGTGGCTATATACGAACTGGTGGCTAGCAGACCTGCCATCAGGAGACGTGTCCCCCACACCTAGCTCTGCTCCTCTCCAAACGCCTACAAACAGAGAGCTGGGAGGGCACAGCACTACGGTGTTCCACACAGGTTTCAATGTAAGTTCTTCACGTGGGAGTTAACACCTTTCCAACTCAGAGGAGCCTCAAAAGTAACTCCACAAAGCTTTACATTTTAGTGATTTCAACAGAAGTCACAATGCTTTAACTCTGTCTTTCTCTCTCCCCAAGGGATGTTTCAGTCTTTAATTTCCTGCCTTCCCCGAGAGGATACTGTGGGGAACTGTTTGCAAGGCAAATTATTTTACAGAACTGCTTTTGAAAACTGCTCATTTATTTATTTTTAATCATTATCAGCAGTCTTCCTCAACTGAACATCTTGTGATCCGAAATCTCTACAACTGAAAAAAGCACTTTGGTAAAACACATTTTCCAAAACTGTGTTTGACATACTTGACTATTGTAACAGATGAAAAAATGCTGACAGTAAAGTATCAGCACTATGTCAGCTGTTCAACTGAGAAGTGAAAAGGGTTTTTAGGTTTCCTGTATGCAAACAAAGATTAGTAGAAGGGAGTATCTTGTATTAGACAAAACCATACAGTTAAGTATCAACAAACTTTTGGGCACATACAGAACACACTGAAATTTGCAACTTCAAACGGATCTTTCCTGCCAGTACCTGATGGCTCCTTTCCCCATCGGAAAGTTTATCTTTCTCTTTGAAGTTCAACAGCCTGTATTCAGATCTGGCATGTCTGTGTTTAATGCCATTATTCACAGCATTCACACCATTTTCTGTCTCAGTCCCTTTCTCAGCTACCAACTTTACTCTTCTAATCCTATGAGAGAAAATACAATTAAATGCTTTTATGTCAGAGAAAAATTCTTTGAGGGAAACATCATGGTGCCTTTCACTTGCCACACAGGTACAACATTAAACAATACAGCTAAGGGAATACATAATTGTCTTCTGCTGACAGGCTCTTTGTGTCCTGATTCTGTTCAAGAGACTTGTATCTCCTTCACTCTCACTAGAAAGTTCTTTTCTAACTCTAATAGTATCTTAAAGCTTCTAAACCAAGAGGGAAATTTCTTACTATTATTTTGAAAAAAAAAAAAATAAGAGCAATTCAGAAGACAGAAAGTCCTCATCCAGAAAAAGGACCTGTCAGTTGAGAACTCATCAAGAAACTCACCTGAGAAAACAGTAGAAGACAATGACATATTATCCCAAACAATCTATCCTCCTTTTCCTCGAGTTACTTTTAGAAAAAGTAAGGTGGTAAAGTGGGATGACTATCCAAGCACCTTAAAACTAGAAGGCACAATTGCTTCTGGAAATCAGGCAAAACAGTAACATAATTTGAGCATACACATTCAAGTAAAGTCACTTATCCGGTAAATAAAATAAGCTCTGCCATCTTCTGCAACCCATCTAACACTTAGATTTAGCTATAGTGTGAGACATAGTATGATTTCCTAATAAGGACATACCACAAATTCATGAAGAATCATCCTCCTACAATACCAAGAGTGCTTTTAGTTCAAAAGAAACTAATTGACAGGCTTTGGGGATATCAGTGACGTTATACATTCTGTCTTCATTTTCCAGATATCAAATTGTTCACAGCGTCATTACAAATACAGCAAACCCAGTGAAAATCACATACCTCCTTCGGAAAAGCATACTAATTAAATTGTTAAGAATGGATGCAGATTCAGACTGCTCTTCTTTACTGTTTTTGTCAGGAGACCAACTGTTCCCATCGACACCCACAGATTTGCGTAACTTCCTGATTTTTAAAAAAAGGAGAATTAAATTTGCATAGCAAGCTACTTTTAGGTATTTCTTAAAAGATCTGAATCCGATTTGAACAGCTTTTTAGATGCTATTTTTCTTAAGTCATGCAGACAGAATGCTTATTTCCAAATAAAATAAATTTTATTTGGAATAACAGATGTTATGCATATACTCACAGGACATCAGTATATCACTAGTAAAGGATTCAACAGACAAAATCTGGACCAAATCTTTGCTGTGGAAATCTAATGGAAGCGAAACTCTATCCACATCCATCATCCTGTGTTCAAACACATCAGTGTTTACATCAAGTCAGACACCTAACACTCAAATACCTAGTAGATGGACCACAACATCTCCCACATGCACAAACCGCCAGCAATGAATCCGCCACAGTCATCGCTGTCATCATTCCCCTGTTCTCAGTACACACCAGCAATTCCCTGCAGTTAATGCCAAAGTGGGACACCAGACTGGTTTGCAACGCCTGAAGATGCCTTTCTGCACAGAATGCCCTCCTCTGGCCACAAAAATAAACTGTATCAAAAAAGCTGCATTAGAAAGAGAAGGCCCAACTGACAACTAAAACAGACCTACCACAGCCTGGTAGCATTTGTCTTGGTTATGAGAAGATTACAAGCAAGACAGAAAACACTCATTTTTACATTTATGGTTAAGTAACACATTTGCATAAAAGAGAAGATATTTACCCATTAGCTTCTACCATGAGCAATCCATCATACACTTCGATACTAGCAAATGAACCTGCTACCCCGCTCACCTCCTCCGCCTGCTGAGCCCGTTGTTTCCGGAAGGTTTGTTGATCTGGGTGGACACTATTTGACAGTGAACAGTTCCCATCAGCAGCATAAGGCACATCGGTCCCATGACTTCACTTGCATTCACAACAGGCATCATGAAATACAACACAACTGCTATGACTAAAAAGGAGAAACTTGTATCAAATGCAAAAATTGAGACCGTGGCTGAGTTCTTCTGTCTTAACTATTTACTTTTACTCTCTTTTATAATTTCTGCAAATACTAGCGCCACACATGTTGAATTCCATCTTATGCTTTAGATTATGGGCTACAAAACAGTGTCACACTCCCTGCAGAAAAAGGATTGTGGCACAGACTGCTGCCGCCTCTTACCTTGCATAACATAGAGCACCAGGAGCCACATAAAAATACGCTGGGAAGTAACCTGTATCCACCACTGGCTGAATAATGGAAAAAATACAACTCTCACAATTCCCTTCCGAGTTAGCGATGTCCAGGGAATTTCAGGCTTGGCTTTAGCAAATGTAGAGCCTTGGAATTAAAAGCAAAACAAACAAGTCATTAATCGTGAATTACAAGAATTTCCTTACTTGCGACTTCCTCTACCAAACCCTGCCAGAAGGCTGCAGCTCGGGGTGAGAGCAGCCCAACTTCAGGCACTTATCCAACCTACACAGCTCACACTGGCACATCTCAAAGTAGCCCCGCACCTTATCGCAGCACACTGGCTGCTCATCCCGCCCTACCTACCCCAGCCTGCTCTCACCAAACACTTGGCACTGCTTTTGCTGAATCACCCCGAGTTCCTCCTGCCTCTGCCTTCGGGTTTTCAACGCTCCTTTCGCAGGGGCACCCTACCCGGGCGGTGAGGCCTGGGGTTCAGCAGCGCTCCGTGCCCCTGACAAACCCCAGTGCCTCAAGACAAACCCTGCCCGGGAGCGGGCCCGCCTCTGCCCGCCGGGGCGCAAACCCGCGCTGCCTCAGAGCCGTGCAGGGGCGGCGGACACCCGCACCTCCCCCGCGTTCCGCTCACCTCTGATTAAATCCACGTCGATCAGATCAGGCTGAATGTGACCCTTCTTTTTAGGCTTGTTTTTGAAGCCCTACGGACCCGAAAACAAAGGCCTGTTAGGTGCCAGGGGAGCCGAGCCCGGGCTGCCAGGGCGGCAGGAGCGTCCGGTCGCCGCCGTTACCTTCATCTCGGTCTGCTCGATGGACTTCTCCCATATCTGCTGGTCGTAGGCCCCGATCTGGAGGGAGAGGAGGCTGAGGGCACGGCCGGGCCCGCGCCCGCCCGCGCCCCGCCGCACTCACCTTCTTCTGGTACCAGGAAATGGCATCCCTGTCGCGAGAGGCCATGGGGAGCCGCGGGGCGCCGGCGAGCTCGGGGCGGCCCGGCCCCGGCCTAGGCCCCGGCACAGGCCCCCGGTACCGGCCCGGGCCGCGGTTACCCTGGAGACCGCCGCAAGCTCGGTGCTCGACTGCCTCCGCCTGCCCCGGCCCACCCCCGCCCAGGCAGCACTAGGAGAGCGCCGAGGCCGGCTCCGCCCCGGCCCTGCAGCAGAAAGAAGCAGCCACGCAGGTAAAGGACAAAAATCAGACTTTGTTTATTAAAAAAATACTTTACAGGAAAAAATTCTATGCATTCCGTTGGACTATTTTACAAAGAAATAGCTTAACAGTTTGACACTCGTGTACAGTCAGCTACTGACAGAAATGCACTGCGTTAGAGTATTCACACAGAGGCTGGAGCGCTCCATCGCCGCACTACTCATTGTAAAACCTCTTTGAAACACTTGCTAATGTCAATAAATATACTAAGGCCGCACAAAGCAAACAGTCTTCCAGGCAATTGTACATGTCCTCTGTAGGCAGAGACCTTAGATAAATTAAAACCACAGAAAAAAATCATAGCTGCCAATCAAAATCAAATTAAATCACAAAAACAGCAATACAGAAGTCTCTTTACATGTTGTACAAAGAAATCAGAAGCGTGTGTATTTCTCTAGACACTCGGAGTGCCCTGCAGACACCACCTCAGCCACTGTGCCATTGCCCCAGGGCTGCCACAGGCGCTGGGACTTCTCACCGGGCAGGACAAGAACGTACCGGGTGAGCTTTTGGGGCGGGGGGAGAGGCCGCTTTTCCAGGAGCAGAAACGAGCCTTCCCCTCTTCCCGCACCCCTTCAGCGAGTAGAGCTGCCAACACTTAGCACTCCTCAGAAACTACAGTTCCAGAGTTTATTACTCAGTTGATTCAAACCTGAAAACATCAGGCCACGCCAGATTAAGGACTTGAGCTCACGCCTGTGGGAAAAGCTCTGACAATTAGCCTCGTCCAGGGGAACTAAACTGTAACGTGCAGGAAAACTGACAGAGCACAGCAGAGAGCCCTTTCTCTGTATAGCAAGATCTATACCTGTGGAAAATGGTGATTATAAATCCCCTGAGAACACTTCGCTGAGTGTCTCACCTTCCTGGAAGAGAACGTGTCAAGTATCTGCACAAAATGACTTCTAGCGTATCTAAAAGAGAGAGGAAACGGAAGCTAACTGATATTTCATCTTTAAATTGCATTTTGCTAGTCCCACTTATAGCACAGCTGCGCTACTCACCCTTATCCCAGGTGACAGTTTTAATCAACAGCACTTTATTTAAAATAGATGCCTAAGCCTGAGTTCCATATCTCAGAGCTGATCACTCTTTATAGACAGAGCGCTTGGTCAATTAGCAGTTGGCTCCAGCCTAAAAGCTGGAGTATCTTCTACCTGTCGACTAAAACACCTACTACAGGGCAGATCCTCCGGAGTGGAGAACTGAGGATTTACAGTAACTGGCCAGCACATTCACACTCACGAGCTGTTCAGAATCTGGGTACTGCTGAGAACTACTAGAACCACCCATGAAATTTGCTGAAGTTTGATTATCTCATTATGTAGGCTGTTTTATGAATTATTAGAGAAATGCAAACAGCCAGCTATTTAACATGAGATATGCACAGAAATATTTACTTGGACCTACCCAGAGATTTGCTTTGCTCAGCAAACACTAAGAGGCTCGAACACACTACTTTGTTGCTAAACAGCTAC